AAAAAAGTAAAAATATGTGTTCCTACACGTAAATTCAACCATAATCGAAATTACACGTTTTGTTTTAATTTTGTCTAGTTTTTATATAATTAAAAAAAAAAAATAAATAATAATATAAAGGGTGTCCCAAGTAATAAAATTGTGTGTCGACGTTATACTTCGCAGCTGCAACTTGTCACTACTATACTATAACTATGTGTACTTACTATCGTTGTTACCGCGCACAAGCTTCCCGATTTCGACGACCTTCTCTCTCTTTCTCTCTCTCTCTCTCTTTCACTTTCTCTCACTCTCTTTCTATTTCTATTTCTATCCCTTAGTCTATCTATTATTCTGTTTCTGTCACCCACCCAGACCCCCTACTGTCTCTTCTTCTGTCTCTTTCTTCTATCTTTCTCTTTTGTCACCCCCTTTTAAACCTTGGAAAATTATTTAACGTCGTGTGTATTATTATCGATTTTAGTTTTTTTTTTTTTTTTAATTCTGAGTAGGAATACAAATTTAAAAAAAAAAAATACGGAATTTTTTTATCAAAAAGTTGTTCGTGTATTTGTTCAAATAAAAAAAAAAAATTACCGGCATTATTTTCGTCGCGTTTTTCAAAGCCATTTGTACGCTTTTTATTTTGTTTCTGTTTTTTTTTTTTTTTTATTGATCCGACATGTTGAAATAAACGCGACGAATAATTCTAAAGATTAAAAAGTTTTTTTTTTGTTTTTTTTAAATAAACATAAATATATATAATATTTTTGAACGATATTACAAAATTAATAAAATTATAAAGTTGACGAATTATTATCCGGAAAAAAAAAGAAAAAACAATCAAAAATAAATTTAAAAAAGTACAAATAATAAAGTACATGTAAAATGACAAAGACAAAGAGACAAAGAAAAATAGAAAAAGAAATAGAAAAAGCGGAAGAAGAAGAAGAAGAAGAAGAAGAAAAAGAAAAAAAAAAAAAGAAAAAAAAAATATATATCGCGAACCTTGTGCGCGGGTGTCAACAACAAACACTATTACATTGAAAATCCTATTTATACTTCGCTGACTACTGACTGGACTCTGTCTGTTCTCTGTGTAGATGGTCACGCCTGACGCTCTCTTTACCCTGTTTGGTACGTCTCCACATTTATATTATTAATTATATTACATTATTAATTATTATATTTACCAACAAAAAAAAAAAACACACACACACACTCGCACACACAGTTATTACAACACACTCTCTATTACACGTTAAAATATCAACACACGTATTAATTGTGTGTACGGAGGAGAATGTTTTTTTTTTTTTTTTTGTGAACACGTGCAAAACGATAATCGATAAAAATCAATTCTTAATTTTTTTTTTTACTTTATTTTTACAGTTACTTTAACATTTATTCATTATTATCAAAATTATACACACACACATACACATACACAGATATATTATAATTGAAATAATTAGAACAAAAATACACGTACACAAAACATTATGAGACAATCCAACAAACACTCACACTTTTTTTCACTCTCGTGATTTTTTTCTCTATCTCTCTCTCTCTATCTATCTCTCTATCTCTCTCTCTTATCGTACTTTTCCAAATTCCTTTCTCGATAATCTTTTCTATCTTTTTTGTTTTTTTTTTTATCTATTTATCTTGATTTATTTCAAATTTTTAATACACGCATTATACTATCCTGATTAATACTGGACAATTTCAACATTGACATACACACAGACCTTAGAAAAGAGTAAAAAGAAAAAATTTCTTTGATTAATAATAATAATAATAGTAATAATAATACTTTTTTACAAAATTATTTTCGATATTGTATGCTGTAATTTGAAATTAAAAAAAAAAAAAAAATTCGTTTATTAACATCTACATTATTTTTTCTTTTCACTTTTTTCTTAACTTTTATTATTTATTACTACACTACTTACAATTCTTTTTTTTTTTTTCAACAAACATACGTTTCGTTTAATAAACATTTAATCTGTCCATTCTCTCCTCTATTTTACGTTCGTAGGTTTTTTTCTTTTTTATGTGTGTGTGTGTGTTTTTTTTTTTTATATTTCCTTTTCTTTCTATCTTTCTTTCTTTCTTTCTTCCTTTTCTATACGTTTTTTTTTTTTTTTTAATCATTTCTATATCTGTCATTTTGTTTCGTATAATTTTTAAATATCTATTTTATTAGAAGATTTTTATTTAAAAAAAAAATAAAAAAAAGAAAAATATATATATCTATTATATATACAATTAATTTCATTCTTTATTCATCATCAATCATATTGCATTCATCCAATGTTCACAATTTTCAAACTGATTCATAAGCCGATTATTTATATTTTTCACTCTCTTTTCTCTCTCTCTCTCTCTCTCTCTCTTTCTCTCTATTTCTGAATCTCTCTTTCTCTTTCTCTTACTCTCTATTTTTCTCTCATTCTATCTATCTGTACCTTTATCTATAATCATCTTCACTATTATTACAAAGTAATAATCTATTTTCTAAAATGATTTTCCACATTCAATATTTTTATTATTAATACCATCAGTTATCCATATTAAACAAAAACCAAATCATCCTCTGTCTATTTTTTTTATTTTTTTTTTTTTTTTTTATTTAATATTTACATAAGCTTTCGCTTTATTTACGTAATTCCGTAGAAAATAAAATAAAATAAAATAAACGAATTAAAAAAAAAAAAATAATAATAAAGAAATTATTTTAAAATAAAAAAAAAAATAAAAAAATAATAAAAACAAAAAGTACGAAATAGAAATGAATTGGAGAGAAAATAAATATAAAAAAAAAAAATTACAAAAATAAAATAAAACACTTTCTCTCCCTTTTCCTACCATTCTCGAGGTAACACGACTCCTCTGTTTGACTCTTACGCCGTGAATTTGAATAAAAATTTTATATCGATTGATGAGATCCTTTTTTATTTTTATTTTCTTTTATTTTATTTTTTTTTTTATTTTTTTTTTATTTTTTTTTTTTTTATTTCTTCCTCACTCTATCTCTTTCTCTCTCTTATATTTCAATTTCTAACTATATCTTTCTCTATTTCTCTCTATCTCAATCCTTTTCTATATATATATATATCTCTGTATTTTTTTATACACAAACCAAAAAACAATTTTTTTAAATAAAAAAAAAAAAAATAATAAGAAATTTATAATTATAATTTTCCAAATACCGTACAATGTTCCTAAAAAAATGATTTTCCAAATCGTTTGCTGCTTGAACTAAACTATTCCGAATCAATGTTATCTATCTATCTATCTATCTATCTATCTTTTTATCTATCTATCTATCTATATATATATATATACGTATGTATTTATACTTAGCGTAAGATTAGACTCGAGTCGTGTTTGCCTCTAATTGCATGTCCCAAATCTTTAGTATGATTGATCGTATCCTAATTTATCAATGAAGCAATAATTTTTTTTTTTTTTAATTCTTTATTTATATATATATTTTTTTTTTAATTTATCCCTATTTTAATCTAACCTTCTTGGCGATCCTCTTAGATGATGTTGTCTCTCTTTAAAGAAAGAAAGAAAGAAAGAAAGAAAGAAAATAAATATAATAATAAAATCAAATGAAATTACTTCGATTTAAAAAAAAAAAAAATAATAAAAAAATAAAAAGATGAGAATATTCTATAAATGATGTTGTCTTAATTACGGTGGTGGGTATGTTAAAAAGTTTTTATGTAAAAATGTATCGATGTTGTGCGTGTAGGTGTTTACGGGGATGTACAACGTGTGAAGATACTTTACAACAAGAAGGACTCGGCACTGATTCAAATGGCCGAACCTCATCAAGCGCATTTAGGTAATTTTTTTATTTATTAATAATATATATATTATTAATTATATTATATATTATTATATAGTATAATTGTTGTATTTGTATATTATAAAATATATAATATAATTTAAATTATATTATAATTAATTATTGTATAATAATTTATTATATTAGAGAAATTATATAATAAATTTAATTATTTGTAATTTAAGTTATTAAATAAATAATTTCATATAAATTTATATATAATAAAAATTTTGTTTATATATAATTGTTTTAATTGATTATTTAATCGTTTATTTGATTTATTTAAAATATTTATACAACTTGATTCATTTTAAATCAATTATTGGATTTATTTAAAATATTTAAAAAACTCTATACCATTTAATGAGTTATTTGATTTATTTAAAATATTTATACAACTTGATTCGTTTTAATGAATTATTAATTGATTAATTGAAAATATTTCGAAAATTTGTTAAATTGTTTTACTGAATTACTAAAACGTTATTTCTCTTTCTTTTGTGCATAATGAAGCGATCACCCATATGGACAAATTAAGAGTATTTGGTAAGCAAATCAAAGTTGTGTTAAGTAAACATCAAACAGTTCAACTACCTAAAGAAGGACAACCGGACGCAGGATTAACCAAGGATTACACGAGCAGTCCTCTTCATAGATTCAAAAAACCTGGCTCTAAAAATTATCAAAATATCTATCCACCGAGTTCCACTTTGCATTTATCAAACATTCCGTAAGTAATAACTATTTATTTATCTTCTTTTTTTTTTTTTTTTTTGAAAATTCCTCTTCTCATATTTTTTTTTAAATACGTGTGTGTACCTTATGTATACAATAATAATATTATAAAATTTAGAATTTGATTTAATTTCTGTTGAAATTGAATTAATGCAATTTTTGTTTTTTTTGTTTTCTTTTTCTTTCTTTTCATATAATAAACAGAGCTACGGTAACCGAAGAAGAGATCAAAGATGCCTTTAGTAAAAATGGATTTAACGTCAAGGCCTTCAAATTCTTTCCAAAGGACAGAAAGATGGCTTTAATACAACTACTTAATATGGATGACGCCGTTGCAGCTCTCATCGTAAGTATTTTTATTACTTTTTTTGTCTCATCTTATATATGCGTCTTTTGAATTTTTATTATACTTTCATCAAAATTTTTTAAATAAATGCAACAAGACTCGGTATCGTAATTCTACTATATTAATTTTTCTTTTGATATCAATGACAAATTTATATTATACACATTTTTATAATAATCAAAATTTCTTAATTACCTTGTTGCATTGTAAATATACTCTTTGCAAATAATTATTGTTATATAATTTTTTTTTTAAATCGTAAACTATTATTTCTCGTAAAAATCGATAAAAATTATAAACAAATTTTATCTTTTTTCTTTTTTTCCTTTTTGATTTGATTAATCAATTCGATACTGTGTTGTTCCAAATTATAAATGTAAAAATAATAATATAATCGTGGAAAAAAAAAAAGAAAAATTAGAATATTTCAAATAAAAGAACATAAATATATTTCTCATTGGTTGACAATTAATTTGTTTATTTTTTATTATTTTTTTTTTTTATATTTCACGTATGTTGTACGTTTGTTCGTTTGTTTGTTTTTTTTCTAGAAAATGCATAATTTCCAACTCAGCGAATCCAATCATCTTCGAGTATCATTCTCGAAGAGCAACATCTAACAAGAGACACTGGTTAGCTAGCAGCAGTGGTTTCAACCCTACGCCCTTGTCCACTATTGGTGATCAAACGTGCTCTAGCAATTAAATAATAATAATAATAATAATAAACGGCCTTGTCAAGCCACCACCACCTCTTCTAACTCGTCGTCCCTTCAAAGTTTTAAGGCCACTGACTGTTATTATAATCTCTGTGTACATAAGACGCGCAACAAAACCCCATTTGGATTAATAAAAAGAAGAAGAAGAAGAAGAAGAAGAAGAAGAAGATGAAGCAAAAGAAGAAGATGAAGAAACAGAACAAGATGATAAATAATAAGTAAAAAAGAAGATGATGATGATGAAGAAGATGAAGATTTGAAAGATATTGCAAAAACACAAATATATTCAAGTGATTTTGATGATAAAACGGATTTTGAAGAAATTAGAAGCTAATGAAGATAAAATAAAGAAGAAGAAGAAAAAGAAAAAGAAGAAGAAGAAGACATATTGTTCATTTTTACTAAAAAGATGATCACATAATGAAGGGACATCCTTCTCTCATGTTTTCACCTTCTTTTTTTTTTTTTTTTTCTTTCGTTTTCCTAAATAACCTACTAATAATAATGTTGATGACAAGAAGAAAAGCTCTTATATAATATAATTAACATTTGAAAAAACAAAACAAAACAAAAGTGCGTAATCCGAAATTATAAACATAAATTTGTTTATGTTTATAAACAAATTTCATGGACTATATATACATAAATATATATATAGGTTGTCACGTCTCGTTGGCTAAGAAAGATTGAGATTGGTTTTCACTCTTTTTCTTTTTCTTTTTCTTTTTCTTTTTTTTTTTTTTCTTTATATTCTTTTTCTTTTAATAAGCAAAGTGTAAAACTAATTAATTAGAAACTAAGAGATAGAAGAAAATGAAGAGAAAAATATGAGATAGAGACAAAAGAGAGAGAGAGAGAGAGAGAGGGAGAGAGAGAGAGAGAAAACAGAGTAGAAAGAAATGTAAATTCTTTATGAGAAAAAAGAAAAAGAGGGCGTAGGTTGAATGAATGAACACCGCATGCTTAGGTTATGATAAGAGGAAGCCCAAGTATTAACGAAAAAAGAAAACGAGAAAAAAAGAAAAAAAAAAAAAAGAATAAAAATCTACAATTTATAAAATGATTTCAAAATAGGTTTTTTCGAATGAAGAAAACGAACCACGGGGTATTTAAGTAGAAGTTTAAAACAACAAACAAAAAAACACAAAAAAAAAAGCGAATGATTATTATTAGGTTAGGAGAAGCAGAGGAGGATGAAGAGGATGAGGAGGAGGGATTTTTGTTAGAAGAAAAGGGTTCAGAGTTAGAACAATTTTGATTAAAACAAAGGTGGGTTGGAAGGTGAGTTCATTCATACCTCTCTCTTTCTCTCTCTCTCTATTTCAAACATTTAAGTATTAATTCCTCCTCTCTCATTGTAGAGCGTGAAAGAGAGGGAGAGAGAGAGAGAGAGTGAGAGAGAGTAAAATAATGTATCTGTCTATTTGATAAAATACTTTTTCCTTTTTTTTTTTTTCTTTTAAGTATACATCTACGTTTAACACTTTTTTTTATTAGTTTAAACAAACATATTACAATAAGAGAGAGAAAGAGAGTGAGAAAGATAGATAGATAGTTAAAATCGAGTGACCAATAAACAAAACTCCTCTTCTTTTTCTTCTTCGTCCGACCTCTCCAATTAATTAATAATTATAATGATGATGATGATGATGATGATGATGAGGATGATGATGATGATGATAACGATTTATTAAGGGATCTTTTAGAATTGTGTGAGTTTTGTTTGGGCCAGTCGAAGGAACCAAGTATGTTTTAAAGCATGATTTAACAACAACAACAAAAAGAAAAACAAACAAAAAAAGTTACAAACGAGTATCTTAGTAAAAAAACAAAAAAAAAAAAGAAAACAGCAACAAAAGATTACAATTACAGGTTCTAAACAGGAAAAAAAATGATAGTAAAATTTGGGCATATTATTATAATATATAACATATAATAATCCACGTCCGATATTACTGAAATACCATTTTACTAATACACTACTATTACGACGACGTATAATAATAATAATAATAGCGATGATAATTCTTATAAAAATTTATAATTACTATTACTATTATTATTATTATTATTATTATTATTATTGTTGTTATTATTATTATTATTATTATTATTATTATTATTATTATTATTATTATTATTATTATTATTATTATTATTATTATTATTGTTGTTATTATTATTATTATTATTATTATTAATATTAGTATTAATAATTGAGCGAGTCGTATTATTACTGTATAATTAATTAATTGATCATTTTTACACGGGTATATTTGACGATAGAAAAAGAAAATGGCGGTGCGTAAAATTAACGATCGTGCTATAATAAAAAAAAAAAAGAACAAGCAGATCGATGATAATGATGATTATGATGACGATTAAGGGGAAAGAAATTATTCTTCTTTCTTTTCTTTTTTTCTATTCTTTTTTTTTTTGTTTTTTTTTTTTTAGAAGAAAAAAAAAGGAAGAAATTATTTTGGATCTTTAATGAAATATTAAAATAAATTAATTCTCGCGCGGATTACGCAAACAAAAAATGGAGGTGGGAAGGGAAAACGTTAGGGATGCGATTAAGGGTGTTAAACGAAAATTGCGTGTGAAGAAAAGAGAGAGAAAGAAATAAAGAGAGATAGAGAGATAGAGATAGAGAGAGATGAGTTTTAAATTTCGGACAATTAATTCGTGAAAAAGACAGAGACAGCATTAAAAAAAAAAAAAAAAAAAACCAAAAAAAATCTAACCTAATAAAGAGGGAAAAGAGAGAAGACCAACACCATCATCAGCAATACCTTCTTGATTTAATATAATCTCGTTTGTTAATCACTTTTTTTTTTAGAACAAGGTGCTTAATTAATTAACGAATGAATTAATTAATTAAACTAATCAATCAATTAATTAATTGACGCTTCCTTGAGCCAAACAAAGACCAGTGTTGTTTGCGTGAGTGCATGTATGTACGTATGTATGTGTATATGTGTATATGTTTTGGTATGTATGCGTTGAAAATCGTCAGTCATTTAATGGGGAAATTGTAATAATTGCAATTTTTCTCTATATAGTACGAAACACATATTTCATAAAATGATGATATATAGCGTTAAAATTATTTGCCGCTGCTGAATTTCACTCGTGAGTTTTTTTTTTTTTTAATATTCTCATATTAATATTACAATAAAAAAAAAAACAATAAGTTAAAATCTTCGCGATTTTTTGCACTTTTATGCGTATATTATAATACATATATATATATATATATATATATACATATGTATATATATTTTTTACGTCGTTGCAGGTGATATTTTTTTAATAATTTATATCTATTTCGGCATGCCGAAAAGTATTATCAAAACTTACATATAGTTTTATACACACACGTACACGATACATACATATATCTATATTATTATTATTATTACCTATAAACAGTTAGAAATATAATCTTTTCACGTATTCACGTCCACTGGTAGAAGAAAAATAAAACTTATGGAATTGTTGAAACTTCGAAAAAAAAAAAAAAAAACAAGGGTCTGTCTCATAGAATCGGAAATAAGGAACGTAAGGAAAGAAAAATTGTAATATCCGCATATTATTTGTTAACCCGTTATATATTTTTATTGCTCAATTTGTAAGTTCAATTTGTCCTTGATACTTTGCTTAAAAAAAGAAAGAATAAAAATAATAGGAAAAGAAAAAAAAGAGAAATACAAAAAGATAACCGAGAATTGAATGAACGAACGTATGAAGTAAAAAAAAAAAAATGAAGAAATATTTTTTATTAATTTTTCTTTTGTTTTTAATCCTTTGACTGCAACAAATTATCTCGCACGTGGTGATGGAAAGATACCAACATCGACAAACGTAAATCGTTAGAGTTTTTCTTGAAAAACAAAAAAAAATGGGGTTGGTTGACGGGTAAGAAGGTATAGGAGGGTTGATTATTTTAGAAACTTGTCTTCGAATAATTTTTAAAAGTGTGAGTGAATGAAAGAAAGAGAGAGAGAAAGAGGGGAAACTACGAACGAACGAATTGCGGAGGAAGGGAAAATGTTAGAAGAACAAAATTGTTAATCCGAACGAACATATCGCCATTATTCAAAGTTCTAACGCGTACGAACTAAATTCTGGAATTATATTAATCGCTATTAATAGAAGAAAATAAAATTCAATAAATAATAATAATAATAATAATAAAGTAATAATAAAAAAGAAAGATAAAGATAAACAAAGCAAAAATAAATGAAATTAACAATAGAATGAAAGTTAAAAAGAGAAGAATAGAAAAAAAAAAAAAAAAAGAAAATCGTGTGTACGTTGCAATTACAAAATGGATGAGAAGCAGATGCTAGAAAAAATTGTTTAAAAAATGATATATAGATGGAATACATACAACAAACAAACAAACAAACAAAAAATAAATAAATTAATAAATAATAATAATAATAATAATAATAATAACAATAATAATAATTATGCAAGCTAAGTATCACATTATAGGAGAGAGAGAGATAATCGAGTTAGTAATTTTAAACGTGCTCGGATATTATAACACATTATTAACAAACAAATAATAATAATAGTAATAATAATAATAATAATAATAATAATCGACCAAATAAAATCCTGTTCCGCGGTTCTCATAAACGACCCCGTATTTGTCATCGTGCGAGGGGTGGTTGGGAGAACATTAAACAAAATTTTTTGTCTGATCGACGACGTTCCGTTGGAGTCAATTAAAAAACTTATTGACATATATATACATATATATGTTGATGATTGTAGAAAACAGAAAGATAGAAAGAGATAAATATGGATAGAAAAGGAAAGAGATATGTAGTAGAGAATGGTTAATGAATGGTTTTTTGTATGCATGTGAGAGAAAGAGAGAGAGAGAGAGAAAGAGTCCGAATGAAATTAAAAAGAAAATGGTGAAAAAAAGAAAAAGTAAGAATGTCAGTGTATGAGTGTGCTTTAGAATTAAAGATAATTCAATATACACAATGTATTGATAAAAGTTGATAGAAAATGATGTATTATTTAGATAAAATGAAAGAAAGAAGAGAAAGAAAGAGAAAGATAAATGGGGGTTGTAGGGGGTGGCACTTTTTAAAATGTCGTCTAAGGATAGAAAAGAAAG